CTCGATTTTATCTGTAATCGTTTATTTACCATTGTCCAATATCTTAAGTATATTTTTTATTTTCGTATTGATAGTTGTATAATTACAAACCTAATTATTTGATTAGGTGTAAGGTATTTTTTGGTAGGCAGATTATGATCCAACAAAAACCATTTATTATCAAAAGAAATGAAAAGTACCTATCTATCTTACTCTTGCTATTCTCCGTCCTCTAAATACAAAAATCACGTCTATCTGTTACAGCGTAATAGGAGAAAAAACCTACACACTTTTATACTATCTAATACTAGACTTTGACCGCAGATTTTTTTACATGGTATGGATTAAGTTTTGTTACGTTTATACATATATTTGTAACATATAAATAAAGTCTTAAAACACATATTGATTTGAAATTATCACTGCATATACCTATAAATTCTCAATATTTTTCCAATACCTCATCACCATTTGAAATCAATCCTGTTTAAGCGATATAGAGCATCTGCCGTATAAATGTCGCTGTGGAAATGAGATCACGCCGAGATAATATCGTGGATAATACGCATTTCCTGAGCAATATCGGTAGGACTCTATACAGTTATAACGTATAATATACATATAAAGCCATAAAGGTCAGAACTATGACAATATATGATAGTTCCCCGTTCCCCACATAGAAATATCATCACGCTTCTTATGAAGTTGTATAGCAAGGGAGTTACGATCATGGATTCTTTTACGTTAAACACACAAAAGATTCATTTTTAGATAAGCACAGAGTTAAGAGATTGTAAATTTGTACAAGTACTTCCGTATTTTATGAAAATAAGAACAAACGGGAAAGTTTGCCATAATAAGCTTTAAATTATTTTATTTAATCTAGTCCATATTAACTTTTTAGTAACAGAGTTATTTTTATATTAACTTACGACCTCGCGGTTAATTTCTAAGAAATTAATTGTTAACCGATTCACCAGTGGCTCGGCGTTCGTTGGCAGGTTAAATCTATCACTAAGTGCAAACAGGCAAACAAACACACAATAATATATAGATATTGATAAAAATATTTTTACAAATTATAATATAATTATGTGTCATAATCGAAACAAAATATTATTGTAATAAAAAAAATCAATTTAAAAAATAAATGTTTGGATTTCTGAAAAAAATGCGACACGTTGTCGTCACATGCTTATTTTGCTTTTTCTTTACAGACAGCTGATGTGAGCGTTTTCTTTTTTTTTATATTTCCGCATCTGTTGTATTTCATTTTTATAAAATGTTGCAGAAATAAAGCCTGAAAAATATTTTTAAACATGACCTTTACAGCCTCGGTTCTAAGTAAAGCATGACATTCTAATCCTGAAACCAAATCGAGTTTACTTTTTGGGTATTCCAATAATAAATAATTTATATAATAACTACAATAAACTGTGTTTGGTGCTTTAACTTTTTACCATACAAATGTTCAATGCAACTTTGGTGTGATTTCGTAAAAATATTTTAATGAACTTCTAAATATTTTTATTTTTTACTTTACATTTTATTAATATTGTTAATAGCATTATTGTAAATTCACATTTATAATTTAAGTATCGCAAATCAAAACATCATCTGAATTAAATGAAAATTAATATACCTACCAAAAAAGCTATGTTGTTCAATATTTTTCAAGACTAATTCTGATATATTTTTCAGTTTAAGAAAAATACAGCCGAAATGGTTATTATCGGAATTAGCCTTGAAAAACCTTTCCAACCATGTAATAAATTGACTAATATTTTATACTTTTATCTTTACTAGTTGACAGTATGTACACACGTTGTTGGCAATAGCTACGTTAAGGTACTCTTTAGCGTAAGAACGTCATAATCTGTTGCGGTGCGTTTTGAACTCGTGTTATTTTTAAACTTTCAATCCATATTTATATTATAAATGTGAAATTGTGTTTGTTTGTTTGTTTGTTTGTTTGTCCTTCTTTCATATAAAAACGGAATGATTGATTGCCGTGATTTTTTGTGTGAAGATAGTTGGAGGGCTGGAGTGATATAGGCTACTTTTTACCGCGGTAGAGCAACTACTTCCCACGGGAAAACACGTTATAATACAACCGAAAAACATATTTATGATCAGAATTACTTGAAACTTGTTATTAAAGCTCTTCAAGACAATTTAATGAATACGTGTTTTAGAATTTTTCGAAATTCATCTCATAAAGGGGTAAAATAGGACCTGAAAGTTTGTATGAAGCCTACCTTTTTAGAATTTTTTTTTGTAGTTTTAGCGCGAGCGAAGCCGCGGGTTCTTCTAGTTATTTTATAATAATGACATTATTATATTAACTAGCATTGACCGTGGCTTCGCCCGCGTTCAGATGACCATAAACCAAATTCTTAGGGTTTACAATGTTAATATAGGTACATACATGTACCTATTTCATTACGCACCGCAAGAAGATTGGAAAATAATGGTAGTGATTGACAATGCCACAAAGGTTCCTCCGTCAATCTCATATTTAATTTAATGCTATTGCACTTTTCGTTTTAACAACAAAATTTATATTATGTCCCTATAATAATTCTGAAATTGATTTTAATCATAGTTTTCCTCTATCACATTTTTTAAATTATTCGAATAAAGACTTACTTTCAAATATATTTCTTGAATCTATGAAAATACCATAATAATATTTAATTTGTAAAAACTTTCGACACAATGATGCTTTTAAGCCAGATTTCATCCAAGAATAATTTTAATATTAAAATAGTAATTACAGTAATTATGGCCAATGAAGCGTGATTATTAAAACCGAATGCAGTATTTTGATTTCATGTTTAAGTATTGGTAGGAAATTTTACTTTGTGTTCCGATTATTTTTAATAAATTAATTATGACAATAGCATAAAAGCTATTATAATATTGAAAATTATTATTTCTGTTCTAGTAATTGCTTTATTCTGTTCTGAATGAAAATAGATAGGAATGAAAATATTTTATTTTAATATACATTCATTCAATACGTATTTATATTGATTAAGTTAATTTATTAAGTAGAAGTTCATTTAAAATAAAAACATAAATATAAATTTTTACTAGATAGAGTTGTTAAAATGTAAATTTTCAAATAATATGTTGATGAATTTTACAAATATTGATAACATATAAAATTTTATCGGAAAATTAATGCTTAAATATGATTGAACAATTGTTTTATATATATTAACGTCTTCCCGATTAAGTTAACAGCTTTGTACAGGTTTAATGAATGTGCCTGTTTTCGACGTTTTAATCTCGTGGAATAATTTGGTTTACCTGCATGCTTCACAATCAACTTTATATGTAAATACGATAATTTTAATAGTGATATTAATTATGGATAAATAAATCATCTGAATAATGTAATAATATAGTTGAAAAAATCAAATACTAACAAATATTAGTTCTCTGCATATATTGATACTAAGCCAATATGTGATTTCCCACGCTGTGTTTTATCTTAATCATTTAGGGAAAGCTTGTTTGATCAATATATATTTTGACTGGTGGTTCTATTTAAAAACTATATCATCATGCCATACCGACGTCAAGGTTAAGCTTTAGCGGTCACTCTGGAAATAATCTAATAAATTTAAACGAGCAATTCTTGTTTATATATATATGTAAACATATATGAATCTCGGAAACGGCTCCAACGATTTTCATGAAATTTAGTATATTAGTCCGCAGGGGGTTTTGGGGGCGATAAAACGATCTAGATTAGTTTTATGTGTAGGAAAACGCGCGTTTTCGAGTTTTCGTGCGGTTTTTTTTTCGCATTATTCCACGCAAATACGCACGCTAGGACATAAGCATCGTGGTCAGGCGCCCAAGGCGCAAGTATGACAACCACAGGTGTTTGAGTTCGTATCCCAGTCGGATACAAAGTTTTTACTTTTGTGTGTGTTTTTAATATTTATTCAAGTTTTTAGTTTTATTTAAAAAAAAAGAAAATTGTACTGTAGACCAAAAACTCCTGAGCGAAGCTCGGTAGCCCATGTACTGTCCTTCTGATATGAGATGAGATACATTGCTACTGAAATTTTTTTTAAGGGAAATTCAGCAACTAGTAGTAAATATGTTTCAAAAATAAAATTTTAAGTATACTTAAGTTATTGAAATAAATAGAATGTAATGAATTCTTTGAATTCTTTTTTCATTCTACAATTATATAAATCATATTCATTGTATCGCTTTATATGTAATATAATATTACATTTATAATTTAATGTATAATGTATTTAATTTTTAATTAATTGTACTCTTTTATTGGTCACAAAAATGTATTAACTGTGTGTAATCTATACTTCTATACTATAATATTATAAAGAGGTAAAGTTTGTGATATTGTGAGTTTGTGGGTTTGTGAGTTTGTGACGTTGTAGGGGGTAATCACTGGATCTACTAAACCGATTTAGATGTTTGGTAAGAACATAGTTTGAGACCCTGGGAAGGACAGGATATATTTCTTTCGGAAATCTATATATTATATATTTATATATTTTTATCCCGGAATCACCCTTAAGGGGATGAAAATGGGGATGAAAGTTTGTATGGGGAAGCAAGGTAGGGACGAACCCGAGCGAAGCGAGGGTGAGTCGATAGTATTTTATATAAGCAAATAATACTTTCCCACCAAGCTTGATTTTTGTTGTTTGTTACGGTCTACGTTGTATTATTTTTTAATTTAATAAAAATAACGTTTATATCAAGCTGAATATGGTAAAAAAATAATCTCGTAATTATTTTAAGAAGAAAAGTTTACGTTATTCGATAAAATAGTATTAGTTTTGCCTTTTAATTGGGTAATTATATTTTGTTTTTTTATAATTACATTTATTCTGTTAAACACAGATAAGAGCACAATAAAAAGAAGTTAGAAGCTAATATATATTTATTTAGTTATACATTTTTGGGATTCTGTTACATTACAATCGTATAATACATTAAACATCGTTTTTCTCATTCCAATACGTAAGTTACCTGAAAAAAAAAACATGGAGAATTATAAATTTTTGTAAACACGTATAGTGATAAATCTAAGTAAATTTTTATAATTTAATATTCCATGAAAATCGTTTCACGTACAAGTAGCTTACTTGCTCTTAAACAGAAAGAAAGAACGACAACAAGACAAATAACACATTTAAAAGTTTATACTGTTAGTAAGAATTTGATTATTTCAAAAATATCAAGACAAACAAATGAAACCTTTATGATTAGTTTAATATTTCTACGTGCCATTGGCAAAGTAGTCTGCTCAACTGGCATGCTTCGCCATTAACAAGAAAATTGAATTGAATAGATTTAATACTGTCAAAAATGTATTTTTGTCTGTAACTTTTTAAATCAACGATGTACGAGTATGTATGCAATGGGCTAAAAAAATGTATGTATATAACGTGTAAAATATAATTTTGTCCAAATTTGGAGTCAATATAAAAAATAATAAAAAAATTACATTTCAAATGTAAAATGTTTCATTTTTGGTAGCATATCTATAAGATATAAAAAATAATAGATATATAAAATAAGAGTTACACTAACATATTCTTTGAAGGGTAGCCAGAGAAATTTGAGTGCCGTTTACTATCACTACATAGTATAAAACAAAGTCGCTTTCTCTGTCCCTATATCCCTATGTATGCTTAAATCTTTAAAACTACGCATCGGATTTTGATGCGGTTTTTTATTATAGATAAAGTGATTCAAGAGAAAGGTTTTAGTATATAATTTGTTAAGTTTTTGTATACATTGGCTAAAATATAACGATATTTGTTGGAGATCTCGGAAAAAATAAGACGTCTGGGAGCTTTCAACGAAAACCCTTTGAGATATAACAAAATAATGTATGGTGGAATTGTGTATCTTTTATAGGTCTACGGAAAAGTCCGCGATGGCATAAGTCTATCTCTTAAGGATAACATACTATATCCATTTTAATTTAAAACAAGGGTGAGTCGCTAGTCAAAGCATAAGTCCATAAGTCCTTTTTATTTTATTAAAAGTAAGGGATATATCTTGATAATAAAATACCTGTTTTGTAGAAAGTTATTTAGCCAGAGTTGCATTGTGCACCAGGATACATGGAGCATCTTCCTCCATTGCAGTACCGCAGGAGACCTCGACAGTTGCGCACGAGTCCTACGTTGCTTGGATAGCAGCGGACGGCTTGTGTGCAACTTGCGCAGTAGGTGCCGCCCTGAACATATTCAATAAAAACTCCATTAGACTACTATTAGGCGGCAGATCTGCCCGTGTAGTTTTCCTTGCGAAATTTGCCGCAATTTCATACAAACTTCCCACCCCTTCTTTTTTAAGGGTTGAATTTCCAAAAATCGTTTTTAGCTAAATCTACCTGCCAAATTTTAAGTTTGTAGCATTTATAATTTTTCAGATTTTATGCTTAATCAGTGAGTACCTATATCGCTTTTATGTAAGTACGTATGTATATGTACATACATACATAGGTTTTCACTAAGTGTAATTATTTTTAACTTGTATTAAATTAGTAAATAGCGAGATAAATACTATATTATATTGTTTCATTTTTTAAGTGTTTTTTTTTTATTTATATTATGGCATATTGTTTAAACAAGGTTTTAATTAAAGTTCTACAGATGTTAACAAATTAAAAACCTTAAAACCCAATGTGGCCTTCATGCTACATAAAAAAAAGTGAGTACTAATAGCATACCTGCGTGAAGTTACACGAGGAATACATATTCAATAATGCGAAGAAAGTTCTTTCCTGTTGCACTTCATCAGTATCTTCCTTGGGTGATCTTTCTTCGCGCTCATAATTTTCATTACCTTGATCGTATGCGACATCACCTGGTAATAAACTTTCCTCGGCAAATATAAAATTTACAGCTACCTGAAATATTTATATAGAAATTAGTATCAACTTTAAATTCAAAATAACCGAAATAAAACAATATAACAATTAAGTAAAAAACAAAAAGAAACAAAAAATCCATTACAACAAAAAAAACTGTTTTGTAAATGAGAAGTTTGGTGAGATTTAAAATAATTCATGTATTAATATTAAATAAAATAGAATTTTCAATAAATTTTACCAGCGCTGTAAGGAAAGCAAATACTACGTTGCCTACAGCCATTTTGGTGTTGGAAAATGATCTGTGTATGAGGTTACTTCACACAACTGGTCCGGAAGATGCTGTAGTCGTAGAAATGGATTGACTTTATGTACTCTTGATACATAATAAGATTTATGCTAATTATAATAATAATGAACTGTAGGGTTGTAAGTAGTAACTGCTTTAAGAAGTCTATTTTTGACAAACTTGACTTTAATAACATTAAACATTATTCTTAAAAAGTGCTCCAAGTATGTAAAATAAAAATAAAATGTAAAAAATAAATAAAAATAAAATTATATTGTGTAAAAATGTGCTTATACTAATAAAAATATACATTTTCTTAGATTTACGCGAGTATTTGACATTTTAAATAAAACTATCTTTTCGGATTATTTCGCGGATTTATTTTGATCGTGGGGAACCAAAAATCGAAATTATTCCGCGAAATAATCCGAAAAGATAGTTTTATTTAAAAATATGCAATAAAATACCCTTGTGATTTTAAGATGGAGGGGTTTTACAAGTTTAGTTAGTCTTATAACTTTACCAATACAAGACAATATCAGCTTTATACTATCTGTAATGTGGTTAATACGTATTGCCATGTGGAAAAGAAAATAAATTGGATTAGTCAAGGACATGTGCGAGTCTAATGCCCTATTTCACCGACGTCACCTAAGTTTAAGGGATCCCCTAAGCATGGTTAGAGGGCTGTTAGGGGACAGTTTCTGTTTCACCGACAGTTAGGGGTCACCTAAATATTAAAAGGCCCCCTAAATTTAGGTGCTCGAAATATGGGCTTAAAACGATCGTAAAACGAAATTTAATTTAGGGGCTAGTTTAGGGGACTTTTAAGCTAGGGATCCCATACGTAGGTGGTAGCTTATGGATTGTTGGTGAAATTAGGGCATGAGTTTTATTTTATTTTAGAAATATAATACATTCATTTTGAGCAAAAATGAACATGAAAAACTAGTGCTTTCAATTTAATTTTAACTGAGGCGTAAATAATATTACAATTCTAGTAAAAAAGTAAGAAAATTGCTACTTTTTTAAATTTTTATAATATTCAGATCATCTCAGCCCTGAGATATTAAAACGAAAGTAAACAATATGTAAGAGAGAATTTTAAAATAAAGGCGTTTTCATATAATATACGTCATACAAATACAATAGGGCAAAACAACTCGTGAGGTCGTGATACATGGATCTATATAGAGTTGATAAAAGTGAATAGCACAACTAGAACAAATGAAAACAAATAATAATGTGTAAATAAGTGGATGATATTTGTGAGGCTGATTATGTGTTTGTTAGGTGTTCGGATTTTCCTTCAGTTGATATTATTTTAATAAAAAAATAGCTTCTGTTTGCGACGAAAACTGCTTGATTTTGCTCGTGTAGTGTTTGAATTAATTATTTTCGATAATTTATCGATTTTAATTAATTAAATATTTTTCGGGGTTCTGTACCGAAACGTTCTGGAAAAATTCTGTTACAAAATCTACGTTGTTCACCCTCGAATTATTTATATATATGTAAAAAATAAGCCATTAAATCATTGTTTTCCTATCCGTCTGTGCATGCATCACTAAAATAGTTACATGGAAAACAAAGGCAAAAGTAGAATTATCGGGTAAATTATATAACTATATTTATGTAGTGAATGGCATGTAAAGAACTTGATTATCTATACTTAATTTTATAATTCTTTCACGTGGAAACGAAAATCGGATTATCCTGATTGTGTGGAGATAGTTGGAGGGCTGGAGAATGACATAGGCTACTTTTTACCGCGGGAGATTATCTCATTCCCATGGGAAAACATCCAAAAAATATTTATGATCAGAATAACTTGAAACTTATTTATTTATTTATTTATTAAGATTCACTAGTGGTAACTACATTATTACAGTAAAAAATTATGCTATTTTACAAAGTTCTTATTGCTAAATGCATTACCTTTTAAGGTGAATACCGCATGCAAAAATAGGCGTGAATAGTTTTATAAAAAAGCAACAATTCTATGACCTTAAGAAATTAAATAAAACAAGTAAATTAAACCAATAAACAAATCTACCACATAAATCGACATATAATTAACAAATCAAGAATATTAATTATTTATTTAGAATATACTTTTTTACATCTTTGCGAAACTTTGGCAGCGAGTCTCTGAATAGGTCCAAGCATTTATAATCGTTTATAATTTTACATAATCGCGACACGGGTGAATTGTTCCCCAAAATAGTTCTACGAGAAGGCTTTTCAAATAAGTTCACGGGCTTACGTGGGCATCTAGGGATTCTAAAATTAAACAAAGACACAAGAAACGGGTTGTCATAAACGCTATTAATAACTAATAAAACTTGGTATTAATGCTCTTCAGTACAATTAAATAAGTACGAGTTTTAGCATTTTTCGAAATTCATCCCATATGGAGGTAAAATAAGGCATGAAAGTTTGTATGAAACCTACCTTTTAGACTTTTTTGTAGTTTCAGCGCGAGCGAAGCAACGGGCTTTGCTAGTTGCATATATTTTTATTGTTCTTTAAGATATTAATGTTATACTAATATAAATAGCATGTTGTAATTACCTGTAATTAAAAGTGCAATCATCATGTTTTTATACGAATGAAAAAAATAATAATTTATTATAACTTTTGTTGGTAATTCTAAAAAATAAATAAATAAACTCGTTGGTGGGTCGAATTAGGAATCAAAGCATTACACAGCTACATTTTTATTATCGTATTCTCTAGAAAAGACGGAGCTGTGAAATATTGTTACTATGCCATCTAACAAAGAATAAGACTTCATTAGGTACATGCGTATATTGTGTAGTGATTTTTGGACAAAAATATGTCGGTCCATTTACTGCAAGGTCGCATTTCCGCGGCGGCTGTATGGCGCGAGTTTATTTATTACACGCGTCTTGGCATATATTACCTCCACACTGGCTTTTTTACATGTGACTGATGTGACCTATTTGTTGTGTCCTAAAAGTATAAATATACTTTATGAAGCTTTTTTGTTCAATTATTTTCATAGTCCGAGGATTTTTTTTTATAATTTGCTCTTATAAAGTATTTAGTTTAACGAGATTAATGGCCGATTTCACCAACGTCACCTAAGTTTAAGGGATCCCCTAAGCATGTTTAGGGGGCTGTTAGGGGACAGTTTCTGTTTCACCGACAGTTAGGGGTCACCTAAATGTTAATATGCCACCTAAATATAGGTATTAGAAATAAGGGCTCTGACGACGGTTAAACGAAATTTAATTTAGGGGCTAGTTTAGGGGAACTTTTAAGCTAGGGATCTCATACGTAGGTGGTAGCTTAAGTAATGTTGGTGAAATCGGGCATAAGAGTACCTAATAGGTACCTTCTATATTTTTTTTAATTTGTGCATTATTTTGAATGGATAAAGAAATTTATTAGTAAACTGCGGGGTTAGGCAGTTCCAGCTAGAGCCAAACATAATATTCTCATGCATAAAAATAAAAAGGAGAGAAATTTTTTTTGTGTATCAGAATTATAACAAGGAATACAACTTTGAAAAATGGATTGTATGTACGTATAAATTGTTTAAGTAATTTTTGTGATATTTAGAAACAAATATTTATTGTTTAGTAAGATAATTTATACAAAATTATCATTTAAATGGGAATCTTGTGCAAATAGTATCGTAGGTGTAATGTAGGCAGTATGTAATTCTATTTTCGTTATCTTAAGGAAATTATGTAAATGTAAATTAAAGATATACTTTTTTATATTAAGTTACGTTTTAAAGGTTTAAAGGAATTTCAAAACTCGTTTAAAATAAGATCGTAAAAAAATTCATTGAAATAAAATTGAAGTAGAAGCCTGCGGTGCCTGACAGAATATTAATAAAATATTATTTTACGCCAACGGTTTCAGAAAAGATATTTTGTACCTATAAATCTCGTAATCCTATGAAATATGTAGACGTGGATAATACTATTTAGTATTTACGTATAATTTAGTCAAAAAATTAAGTGAACAGATTAATGGAGATGAGCAGTATTTAGGAAGCTTCCTTACATATCTTCCGTCAATAGCTAACATAATATACTCATTGCGAGCGCGTAGCATTTGGCTGATTAATATTTTGAGAAATTATGGAAATTATATTATGTTCTCAAAAGATAAACTATTATTTTACCCTAAATTACTCATCGTTCAGTAGAATACTAATATTAACACACGAATGGTACGCTAATTCACAAACATTATGTAGGTAATCATTACATCAATTCTTAATATATGTAATTATGAGTAAATGACTGCACAGTGTTCACTGTTCATGCCTTATGCTGTAACTTTTCTCGTTAATAAAACGTACATTTTCCTTTTTCGATTTGTTACCTACATTATAGACTAAATATAATATGATTTAACTTAAATTCTCAGTTTGACAGTTTGTGAAAACAAACAGGTTTTTTGTAATGCTTTAATAAACAAAATATAGGTATGCTTGTAAATTTTACTATAGTTAATGTATGATTTTAATTTTGATCAAATCAATGTAAAGTTTACTAAAGAAATTGGGTGAAAATGTATCGTCATGGTTTCAATGATCAGTAATTCGTGCAATGTCGTCGTGATTATTTTTGAATTCTTTTCATCAGAATATATTGTAAAATCAAGAACATCAAAAGCATTCTGGTGACCCCTTTCGCTCGCTTGAATTGACCACAAGTACTCACCCATTTCCCCAGTTTCTATCTTCTTTGATCTCAGACTGCTTTTCCTAAAACGTCTTCTTATCGCCTTTGTACACCTACATAGGTTTAACAAAACTTGGTAACTAAGAGTATAAAGTTTTTTGATTTAACTTTATAATTCAAAAAAAAAAGCCAGCCCAGCAATTAATTTCCCAACATTTGTTTTTTATTACCATTTCTGTCTTATTCAAGAAGGCAGTCTTATTAGCTTTTGTCATAATTATTGCGGTCATTAGAACTTTTCTTGTAAGAGTAATTTATAGCGTCTTTTGTTAATTTTAATCACTTTCTCCTCAATGTTGGATGTCTTCAATTAATTTTGGGCGCCGTTATAATATACATTTTAAAAATATTAAAATGTAAATTAAAAAGCAAATATAGGTATTTTTTCTATATGAGGATTACTTAGTGAATGAATTTTGAACTATATTTTATTATATTACCTATCTCATATGGACACAGTGGAGACGAATTAAAAGCCCTTTGTTGCAATTCACTTGAAAAAATTTATTGATATTTGTGTGAAGTTATACAATTGAAAATTAGTTGTCGCTTCGACATTTGAATATAGAATGAAAGTGACACGAAGTTTTTAAATTTTGTGTAATGGTAAAGCGCCTACACAGATAAAAAAGCAAACATTGCATTAACAGTAATTGATTGTCTATGGTTAAGGCGCTAACATACCTTTATATCCACCTTTGCAAACAAAAATTGTGTTTAAATTACGAAAAGAAAAGAATAGAATATATTTTTTTCCTTAATATGTATGGGTTATTAGGTCTCATAAATACTAAGTTGCATATTAATAAGAAACATAATTTATTTAATAGAAGGCAGAGAAATCTAACTACATACTAAAACCTTTTAACTTTTCATTCTTGCTAAATTGTTGTTGTCGTATTGAGTTATTTTTTTCTTAAATTATAGATAACTAATTTGCTATATAATCTCCACAGTACTCGCATTCTATATCTTTAGTGAATTATCCCAAGATCTGTGATTAAGGTGTTTCAATAGTTTGAACTAGTTTTCGACACTTCTGAAAACTTTGTCTATCAGAATAGGTTTAGTATACATTTACACCTTAGCGGTTCGGGAGCTTGTAAACTAACTATTACTTGCGCCTGGAGTAATGTCAGTGCACAGTTAAACTTCATACAATATAAACCTAAAACTGTTACCTGGAAGTTTGCTTTGATGTAATTTTAATTTTCTGTGAACGTTTAAAACAAGTGTTAACTGATTTTTAAGTTTTGTAAAGTATGTGTTAATTTATAAACTAAATGTTTATATATATTATAATTGTTATTTTGCTGGATTCTTTATATTATGGATATTTTCATTAAACAAGAATGGTAAAAAAGCCAATAACTTGCTTGATGGTAAGCGATTGTTGTAGCCTATGTATGAATTTGAAATGAAAAGACAAAATCAAGGGGATAGAGAAAATTGAGATTGGACTCAGACATTATTTATTACAATGTACACTTACAATTTTAAGGATAGATAAATATTAGCTACATTCTTCTAAAATGGATCACCCACATCGAGACGTTGTGCTGTGCAGAATGTCGTTCGCCAAAAACAAATCCATCAGAAAGACTAAAACTAAGGGAATCCCACGGGAACCGTACATTTTTCCGGGATAAAAAGACATACATACTTTTGCATATGTATTATGTATATAATATTAGTGGGATTTAAATAAATAATCCAGATATTTCATTTCCGGATAAGTAAATGTAAGGTAATTGTTAAAAACTATTTAAATATACAACGCACAATCCGAATTACTAACCTCATGATAAGCACTTTAAAGTTGATTAAAAGATATAGTAAATTAATTGGTAATCATACACATGTAGGTATAAGTTATTTATCCTCTTTGCAATAAATTAGTTTTAATAAGTAAATGAATAATATGGAAGCACCATTATTTTCACCATTATTTTTATATATATTTTTCATTTTTTATAATATTTAAGTTCCGATTAGTTGTATTATGACTCGTCTCCGACATATATTTATAGTTAAAATATAAAATATTTTGAGTATTAGATAGGTACTTTGTTTTGGCAATATTGTTTCGTTATAACGAAATATACGGAAAAAATAAAAATGAAGGTTACATATAAATTCAGTTAAATTACGCTATTATCTTTTCAAATATATACATAAATATGATATATGGATGCGTACTCTAACTTTAATCCAGGGTTTCATATGAAATGAATGTGTGTAGTTACATCCTTTATAGCTGTTTGAATGTTGGCAATATATAATAATAAGGAAAATTACAAATATACTTTATTAACAATAATAAATAACAAATGTACACTGTAGTATGTGTTATTACTGTGCAATCATGTCCGCGTGGAATAGTGGCAAGAAAGAACTCTCAGGTTCTACTTTCTAACTAGATTGTCCCATTCTATGCCTATTTCGTTACTTTTTGGAATATACTTACTTATTAATATCTAATTGAAATCATTTATAACTACTACATTAGAAAAACTATCCTAATGAATGATTAAGGTCGACTAAGTATAAACTCATAACTGTTTGAATGCAAGTAAATCATTTGCTAGCAATATATTATTGCGTGGTAACGATAAAATCATATATTCTTAGCTTTACTTATTGTCCCTATTTTTAGATCTATAATAGTCATAAAATATATCTAGATCATTAAAAATTGATAAGATGCTAAGTATTAAAATATCACTTCTCACAACACGCACATTTAACTGGCGTGTAAACTCACACGTTTTCTGAATGTAAGAACAACACAAATACTTCAGACATTAAATCAAATATGATCAAAGCGGTTAAAAAGTAGAAAATTCCAAAATCCCTTTCTTTTTAATAAAAAGTTGTTTAAATATGTTTCATCTCCCCAAGGATAAAGACAACAATTGTTTTACGAATGCCTGCTCTTTAATTTTCTTTTTATCGTGACCCTTCTAAAGAGAATAAAGATTGGTAAAGAGGGGGCGATATTTCGGAGCCCTTTCATTAGCAATCGTTTTTGTGATTATAAAGATAATTGCTTGGTTGTGAATAAAAATTCTGCTTGAATACAACTCTTAATTATAACTATAGTCAAACTGATGGTACCTACCACCGAGCTTAAATAAATTATTACGTTACCCTTTGTTTCTTTATGCATAAAGTAAGATAAATTACAGTTAATGTAAAGATGTATGGAGTAGGTTTTTGATATCTTAGATAACTTAAGTGAATGAATTTTTAATTTTATTACCAAAAGCATATTAAACTACATCATTATTTCTAAAACCTCAATATTATGATTATTTCTAAAGCAATGGTTTTGCTATCACGAAACTAACTATGAATTTATTTGCAGTACAATGCGGCCGAGCGTGCCTCTCCTCTGCGTTTGCTTCTATGCGCTATTGTCAAGTGGAACGTCGAGTGGCGACGACGATAGACGATGGCTCGTCTCTTTACTCGATCTTGTAGAATTGGAATATCAGGACCAATGCGATCAGAGAGCGACAGCCACATGGGAGGAATTATTAGGTAGCGGGACTGGATTGTCATTAAAGGTAAATCTATACTTAACTCCTCTAGGTAAATTTCTAAGAAATTATTTAGGTAAATTTCTAAGAAATTAATTGCTAACTGTAACAACGGTGTGCCCGCGGTCGTTGAGGGATTAATATTATAAAGAGGCAGGGTTTGTTTATTCCTATGCTTGTTTGAACGCGCTAATCTTAAGAACTGCTAATCCGATTTGCTAAAATTCTTTATGCATTGATAGCCTGTTTATTGAGGAAGACAAGCTATATCACAATACTATATAAGCTATATACAACTACCCAAGGGAGCGGAGTAGTAATCACAAATGTCGACAAATTGGGTAGACTTCCATACATTATTGTAAAATTGATGTTTATATCGGAAGTTTGAACGCAGATGAAGCCGCGGGTACTGCTATTAAATAAATAAATTACGAAATTACCTAAAGGCGGCTTCACAGAAATCACACGTATAAACAAGTATGTATATGAACTTGACCAATGACCATCTCATCGTTTCATTCAATTATCTTGATTATCATACCTGAAAAGTCGTACAGAGACGGTTAAGTGCATTTGGGCGAGAATGCGTGCTTTTAGTTACATACATACATACTCAGATGCTCATATATAACTACCTTTATTTAAATTTATAATGGTTTGATGTTACAGTATGTTTTATATGTATACTGAACAAATTTACTTAAATAGCTTAGCTAGCTGGTTATATTTGAATCATGAATTACTGCTTACGGTTTCGCTGTTCGCATGTTAATTTCTATTTACCTACTTGTACATTGCAAAATTTAATTGATATTTGTTTAGCTGTTCTAGAGTGATGGGTATATATAATATTATTATTATTATATCAAACATGACTTTTGAACGTTAATATTATTTACCTGTTTATCAAGTAGGTATATCACATAAAATGCTTTGAGCATTTTCAAAATAAAGTAAACTTACAATGTTATGTATACTATATAAAATGTACGCGTTTTTTCGACGAACAATGTAGCATATTGTTCTTTTAATTACAATTTGTCGTCAATAAGAGCATAGTCTGCCAACGGCAGAATAAAAACTTCAATACTTTCTTAAGTCAATAGTAACGCCTATATAGAACATGGCACGTATTTATCTGAAACTAGGTGTCAATAAAAAAATTTTGTTACATATTTTCTTAAGTTTTAACTTTTAGTAGAATGTATAGGACATTGCAATATGTATGTACATTTAAAACGTTGGGAGTCAAAAATCAAAATAGATCCACGAAAAATCCAAAAAGATAATTTTATTTAAAATGTATTTGAGTGAAATTCGGTTTGGAAGTCGCTTATTTTCTAAATTAACTCTTATCGCGAATAAAAGTTAGTGTTAAAAAGCTTGCAATACTTTATTTTTTCATACAATCTAAAGAGAATATTATTTTACAGTTGGAACGGGACAAAGCCTTTGGTATATTTGTACGTAAGCAGAAAACTGATGTCGCAAGCGCGTCTACGGGACACGCGTTAGGCTCTAATGACGACACATTACGTCGTCGCGTCAAGCTAATCCTACAGCCGGGTGACGCTTTGCTGGACACCCAAAATTGGATACGGGTGAGTAACTTTTTAGTACCAACATAGTATTTAAATATTAGCCAAATTTAAAATATTCATTCACTTCTCAAGCAATCATTGCTAGGAAAACTGTTAATTTTGCTCATTTTGCGTAATGAAGCCAGAATCAGAAGCCATTTTAAGTGGACACAGTGAGTTTTTCCGTTTTATTGAGATTAATATATATAATTTCATATGTTAAGGCGCTGCGCTATGACTTAAGCCGTATGGTTTATAATTTATATAAACAATATAATATTAGTTTTCGTCTGTTATCTAGTCAACGTTAAGCATAATCGTCGTGGACTGAATATTTTGACATATTTTATTTTTTTATATCAGGTAAAAGTTATCTATACTATAATAAAACTGTAGAGGTCGAATGTCTGTACATAGAAAAAAAATGCTAAAAACCCAGTCAGGGGGATGTAAGAAGAGAAATAGAAGTAATCCAGATTTTTTTCTCTCTCTGTTTGTCTGTTTGTACGGGCTAATCTCCGAATCTATTGGACCGATTTAAATGAAATTTTGCATGGTGGTACCTTATATCCTCGGTCAAAATCTTAGTTACTTTTCCCGTGGGATAGTTAAAAAACTATAGTAACTTATACAGCTTAGTATAAAAGAACTAATGATTGGATTTTAATGAAACTTTACAAAAATATACTTCATACATCAGAATAACAAATAGACTATTTTGTATCCCGGAAAAATGTACGGTTCCCGTGGGATAAATTTGTTTTTGTTTGTTTAGATCATGAATAAATTATAACTAGATCAAATATAAAAATGTATTCATAAAATTTGCCATTTTTAACATTAACATTTACGTTACACTGTTACATTTATTCTACGATAAATTCTTAATTTTGACAATGTTCTTTGTGAAATAGTTTGCTTCACTTTAAAGTAGAGAAAGAAGTGAGAAATTCCGGAATCCATTTAACCAATTACTACTTGAAACACGTTTTCCATACAGCCGTTCGCAATTTGTACTAAGTGCTATCCCAAAGAGGCGAGTTTAATGGACTGTGTCACCTTTAAAGGAAATCCTTTTAGGACACTTTGACATTTAGTTAATTTGTCATATTGCATCATGAAAGTTTCTGTATTGATGTTCGATCTTAGTGATTCAAAGATTACCTGAACTTTTACTAGGGCAATTATTTTTAGATGTATTATAGTTAAAAATATATAATTACCTAAAGTTAAATGCTATTCGTTGCTAAACGCACCATTTCAAAATGGCTAGATTTGGCTAATTTAAAAAAAATGTTCATTATAGTCTGATTAAGGCTTTTAAAGTAAAATAATAATAATAATAAAAGTTGCTTGGGTATTTGTGAAATTCCTCAGAAAGTGTAAGTACATACTTTTTTAAACAATAACTTTTGACCTCAAAGATCATAAATAATTTTAAGATTCATAGATCATGAACAACTTCAGTTACATTAAATTATTAAAAAAATATATATTATATACACAAAAATTCTTTTAAGACGAGAGAGAATAAAGAAAATCGCAATAAAAACCTTTATCAGGCCATTCTATGTGTAATTATAATAATTGACAAGGGTTTTCGCAAGGCGAGCACATTTTGCGCCTACAAGATCACCTCATCCCGTCAGCTCGGTTTCACTCAATTATCTGATACCATTACACTTAATTACTATTGCCCTTTGAACACAAGTAGATTTTACGTTGTCTAATGTTTGGTATTATATGAAATAATCGCTCAATATCATATCCATAGCGTGGAGGTCTTTTTACCGATCCTCGGATCGGACTCGGTTTACTTAGTAATAATAAACAATTCAGACCTTTTAATGTCCCGCTGCTGGGCACGAGCCTCCACTAAATGCTCAGGCCATAGCTCACCAACTAGCAACAGATTAGTTTTCAAGCGTGCACGTTACAAATGGGCCACTGCTTCATTTTAGGTTGTTTATAGTATATGAGTGACCCAGCTTCACTCGGCACTTTTTTTTGGTAAAATTGCATTTTTCAGAAAATACACCTACGAGTATGTAGATGAACTTAAAAAGCAAAACCTTATCTAGATACAAAATTTTGATCCAAATCGTTAAAGCCGTTTCCGAGATACATGAAATAAATGTGTATATATATATATATAGATATATATATATATATATATATACCTACAAGAGTTGCTTTTGCCATTTAATATAAGATATGTCACAATTAATTTACCTATACATCAAAGAAAGAAGTCATTTATTTTCTAATTTAAACAAAAGAAATATTGTAACACAGTGGAACTGTGCAAGCATTTGAATTCCATCCCTGTAGTAAAATGAAAGTGTATTATTTATATATATACAATATACATAATACATATATAACATCTAGCCGCCCACTGCTGAATGAAGGCCTCCCCCAATGAGAGCTAACTATCCCGGCTGGGCAGTCTGCATCCACCCGCTGCCCGCCACCTTCCTTAGGTCATCAGTCCATGGTGCTGCAGGGCGTCCTACACTACACTTGCCTAAACGCGGTCTCCATTTTATCACGTGTATATAAACATACATACATACTCGTATATACATACATACATACATACATACATACATACATACTCGTATATATATAAGACAGAAATCTGATCTAGCTAAGACTAGTTAGTTATTTCTAGCCCTCGAAATATAAACTTAATCGCTGTTATCTCTATATATCTACTAAATCCATATTACAATAACAAAGTTGAATCAGATAGTTACTAATAATAATAACATTAGTTATAGTTAATCTCTATAGATTCGGTATTATTACAGCTAGTGACATTCGCCGAAACAGCGCTACATAGAATGCGCTGGGCAAAGGATTACGACTGTGGGTCCAACACTACATGCACATTGCGAGGTGAGAAACGAGTTACCTATTACTGTTTTTTTTTGTAAAATATATAATATAAAATGGAATATGATGTTTTCGTATTTCGAACTGAATAAATAAAACATTGCAGCCATGTCGCAACTAGTCTATCAAAGGGTTTTTTGCAAAAACTATTTTACTGAGAGTTGATTTTGCTTTTTCGTACTAGGTATAGAGTTATCCAAACACAGGTGTGCTTAATTTAAAAGTTTGTATTAGAATTTATTTATCTAGGGAGCTAAGTTATAGAAGTAAAATAAAACTTAAAAAGCAGTTTGAAAGTTTTGATTAGTGGGGTCTCAATTGTTAAAGCTAAAGCTCAGTTAAAATTTAAATTATGTTATACAAAACTTAAAAATAAATTTGCCCTATAACAATTCTTTAACCTAAATAAAATGTATTGCTTTCTGATCTAATAATATGATAATGACCTATCTCTTTAACAGAGTTACATAATAGTATGGCAAGGGGTCAAGATGAAGAGGCTCTACGTCACATGAAGCAATCGTGGGAGAATCACTTGCCAGATTTGCATGAATATCTCGAAACCATTCTGCCGTTACTAAGGAATGCAACTAAAGAAAATCGTATGTAAAATAATATTTATATGGTTTTGAAGCTTTACTGTTATTCAAAGTAATTGAATTTGAAAGTATCTACTGTCCATTGTTTTAAAAAAATATATAAATAAAGACTTTAAATTATAATTGCAATATAAACAAACAAAAATATTCATAAATATAAAATACATACAAAAGCTTACTTATAGAAATATTAAATATATAACAAACAATAAAAAATAATAAATATAAAATAAATACAAAAAATCACTGATAGAAATATATTCATACCTTCTTGAATTCCACAAAACAAACAAACAAACAGACAGACAGACAGACAGACAATTAACAACTACAGTTGTTTTTCATTACTCGCTTTAAATTTCAACAAATAAATCAATTTTATAGATCACACATTAATAGAGGATTATTGGGATGAATTATGTGAACAAGAGGGTGCTCTATTAATGGCGCGTGAACTATGGCAGCGTGTGAAGCCATTGTATTTAAAGCTGCACAAGTATACAGCGTTGCGATTGCGCGGGGTAGCCGAAGTTGGAAAACCGCTACCAGTTCATTTATTGAGTGAGTATATTAGTTAATTTTTAACCGACTTCCAAAAAGGAGGAGGTTCTATGTTCGTCTGTATGTATTTTTTTGTGTATGTTCATCGATATTTTGGCCAATTGTGAACCGATTTTTATTGTTGTTGTTATTGTATATGGATGTAGCTTAACATGAGTGAATATGTAATAGGTGATTTTATTTTTTATTCTGATCAATGTCATAGATTGATGAGGAGAGTGGGTGGTGTCATGACTGGTACCGAAGACCTAGCTAATTATTTTATAGCTTTTACTTTTACTAAATTATCGACATAATTATTAATAATATTATCTTTCTTTGTTATAAAACCGTTTAACTTAAAAAAATGCCTATTTTATTTTAAAATTAATTTTGTTTTAGTCTCTGTCTACGATTTGTTATCAAAATTTCAATTAAAAAAAAAATAACTAGAATAACTATTTACGACGACCTTATAAGTCACAGTGAGCGAAAGATAGTATGTGAACGTGTTAGAAAGACGATTGATAAAAATTATAAACGCACTTCATAATGGCCAGCACAAGTTATAATATGAGTAGAAAGAGAGTAGTATAAGAGTTAACTGACGCTTATTTTGCTGATTAATTATTGAAAATTAAACAACTATTAATAGTAGGTATGTTTATTCGGTATAAAATACTCAGAAAAAATTCTACATTATCTCATCTACTATAATATAATAAAACATTTAAAATAAAACATGAAAATTAGGCATATAATGTATATACACCTATATACATATAATATCATATTTAATAGCTATCCACATTATATGCAAAAGTTTGAAATTGTTGAGGCCGAACCCCTCGGGCTAATCCAAACATATCGATGAAACTTTCATAACACTTAATACTATATTGGATTCCCGAACTTTTATTTGCCAATAAAATACACGGATGTATAGCAATAAAGATAAAACTTGACATAGAATTGGCTTTTAATCCCCGATAGAAAAAGGGTGTTATGAAAGTTGTTAGTACGTTTGCTCCATCAAAGTTTTGAAAGCAGTACAATTTTATTGTGATATGAAATAGTTCAAAATATATATGAATATTAATAAAACATGAATTTATCTATGGATAGACAAACTCAAATCATACTCTCCATATATAGAAAATAGAATAAAAGAAACTAAATAACCCAAAACACATTTAAGATATCTTTTTCCAAGTAACAATTGTGTTAAGGGCTCAGCCAAATTAAGATTGTTATGTCGTTAGCGTTAATAGAGAAATAAATACATATGTTTCTAAAATATTAGCGATATTATATTGTCGATAACGCTATTTTTTCTCTATCTTTCATACAGGAAACATAAATTGTTAACTTTTAATTTATTTTTGAGTGTTAATGAAAAACTTTTTTGCAGGATCCCTCAAAGGAGACGATTGGTCGAACGTAATAGAAAGTCTACTACCAAAACATCCGGATATATATCAAAAAGTTCACGCCAATTTGCAATTAAAGGTAAAATAACAACGTACACATTCGAGCTTAAGAGGGTTACATCGCATTTTAAATATATTGCAATATGAAATTATATAATTAAGCCGGAACCTTAATTGTAGAAATATTTATAATTTCAAATTGTAGCCTTTTTTATGGCTTACACTGTAAACCGTAAAAAACTATTACTAGTACTATTGAATTTAATATGAAATAATCACCTAATAAAACATTTTACGTACTTTTTAGGATATTGGAGGATTAAACGCTTTTAAAGCGGCAAATAAATTGATAAACAATTTAAATTTAGGGGAAATCCCTCATGATATTTTCGATCAATCGGCATTTAATGGGACCTGTCCACCCACAATAGTAGATTGGTGTCAACCCAATAAAGTCAAATTTATATCTTGTCATGACGTATCGATACCCAATTATATGGACGCGCACGAAACCGTTATGAAGATTAGATTTAAACTTATAACAGCTTTACATAGCAATAATACGTATATACTGAGAGAAGCGCCGCGGTTTTCTGGTAAGTAAATTATGTTATTTGTAATATGAATTAGGTGTAATATAATTATAAAATATGCATGGTATAAATGTTATACATGATGTTATTATTTTTTTATGATTATTTTGTTAATTTAGGGTCAATCATAAAAAAAATTAAGTAACATTTTCAGAAACCAATAAAAAAATCTCAATAAGTGTTAACTATATAGACAAGTTTAGACAAAAATGTAATAAATATTATTTGCATTACAATACTAGCTTCTGTCTACACATATTATAAAAAGTATTCAATGTTCAGTACATCCATTTACATATTTTTATATGTGTGTCAATGTGTACATAAGAAAAATCAGAGGTGCAAGACCCGGGATTTGACCCCGCATCACTCGGTTTCCCGAGCGAGCGTATAACCACTGGGCTACCACTGCCTACATACATACATAATATGTACTTACTAAAAGAAAATATAATAACCAAAGCTTACAAAAATATCTTTACTAATTAAAATTTTACTTTTCATTTAACAGTTATAATTTCTTTTAATATTGATTTCTTTTATAATATTTCTTCTTTAATAAATCATTAATTTTACAGCAATATACGAAGCAGTACCGGGATTTATATCTCTATTATCATTGAACCCCCATACATTGAATCGAAGTGGATTGTATCCGTTGGACAGATTCAAGTACAATCCAAACCATCATAGGCTCATATTGCAGCTTATTATCGCTTTAAGAGATCTACCCAAGTAAGAAATTGTGTTTCGTTATAGTAACTGTTTATATTTAGGGTTTCGTAGTTAAAAGGGAAAAACGCTGGTTTTATTACCTACTTTTAGGTACTGCTAAAAAATTTTTTTAATATTAAAAGAATGAAAACATTAATTATTAATTAATAAAACTTGAGGTTTCGTATTGCCAATAACGAAATCAAATGGTGTGAGAAACTCAAATTGAAATATTAAATACGCCAGTATGGCCTCTATGATATGTGTCGCTAATATTATTTCTATACTCTTTTTTTTAAATAAATAAAATGTAGCAGCTTTTTGTTTAAAGGTTACATAATAATAAAAAACTACAAGACTTTTTGACCTACTTGAAAAAAGAAGAGTCCATTCAGTTATATATTACGCAATATCTTTGCCACTTTGAGTAGATTTTCTTATATTTTTTATTATTAATGTGGCTCTATATAAATATAAAAAACCAGCTAAAGCTATTTACTTTATAGTTATTATGAACTAAGTTTATTTTTTTAATGTGTTCTCCGGTTGTTTAACAAGTACAGCTAACATTCGAATAAATTTTAATTATTTATTACTAGCGACTTTAGGTTCACTCAGGATCATTCTGAGGTATTCTGTATAGTAAGTTTCATCCTAATCCATCCAGCCGTTACAGCGTAAAGGAGTAACAAACATACACGACACGACGATATTTGACGTCACGTTTGGCTCAGTTTGTAGTGAGCCTACTTGCTGTGCCAGCGGTCGCGGGTTCGAGTGCGGCTGGAGGCATTCATTTGTGTGATGAGCACGAATGCTTGTACTCCAGTCATGGGTGTTTATATTTATAATATGCGTTTAAATATATACCATATTATGTGTATTGTATCAACTATCTGGTATCCATAACACAAGCCTCGTAGCTTACCATGGAACTAGATGGTGCTGTGTGTTAATGTTCCGACATATTTATTTATTAATTTATTTATTTATACATAAACAAAACGTACAAACTTTCGTAACTATACAGACGTCAGATTTTTTATTAGTTTTTTAGGTATATTAATTAAATCTTAATTAATGCGTTATTTTTAGGTTAAATTATTATATAGCAGCGGACACGTGGAGGTTAGACGTATTAATGGGAAAGATTCCTTACGCCAAAATAGAGGAGAGTTGGAAGGAGTTTAGAAGTAATTTTTCTATGCTTGAATCTTCTCATGTGGATATTTTAGGAGATCCTTACATTTTGTTAAACAAACCTTATACAGGGTAAGAACTTCACTATACAGCTGTAATAAATAATATCTTTTTACTTCTTAGATTTATCAAATATTTGACTTTTTTAATAAAGTAAATATAGGTACTGTCTAGTATGTATATGACATTTGAGACGTCTAAAACTTTAGTCTCTTCCATGACCATGATTACTGTAAAGCATTCGAAACAACAAGATACCAAAAATCAAATTATCAAAAATTTTTAAATATATTTTTATTTATAACTAGCGACTCACCCTTTGCTCAGATTTGTAGGTTGCTTACCCATACAAACTTTCATCCCCATTTTCAACCCCTTAAGGGATGATTCCCGGGATAAAACTAATCCATGTCCTTCCCAGGGTCTCAAATTATATTCTTACCAAATTTCATCTAAATCGGTTCAGTAGTTTCGGAGCTAATTCGGTACAAACAAACAAAAAAATCTTTCCTCTTTATAATATTAGTATAGATAACTGTTTTTTACTTTAGCTAATTGTTTTCATTTTTGTTTCGGTCGCTGTAAAAAGTATTCGAAATTTTTTAGTTTTAATTGAAACCGTCACAGAGACGTTGAATTTTTTAAATATCTTATCTTAGTTATTTTAATTATGAGAAACAAAACAAAATATTAAGGTAAAAGCGTTTTTTTTCACAGAAAATTCATGGGTCTCATATTAAAGTACCAAATCTATCAGTCGTTTGCTGAAGAATTGATCTCGGATGACTCAGATTTGATCCAACACGTGTCTGAAAATAATCAACGGTTGATGTAAGTTTAGAAGGAATATTAAATATAGTTAAATATAATAATTGCATTTTTTTTTTTATAAGTGACTTTATTAATGTGTTAACTTTCTTAACTATATAATATAATAACTAAAAAAAAAGTGTGTGTGTAATTATGTAAGCACGTAAGAAGTTATACTTCCTTGGCGTAACAGAACAAAAAATAGCTAAAGATTTCATCCCATAATATGTCACAACTCTCTGTTTGTAAAAGGAAAGCAGAAACTTCATCATGTGGCTTTTTAGCTGCCGATGTGCGCGTGCATCGTAAAAATTTTACTTTCATATTTTTTTTCCAAACGTGCCAAAAGAAGTATTTTCAATAATATAAAAGTTTGAAATTTACACAGACTTTTGGATATTACTAAGAACAAAAATAATTTAAACTATTATTTAAAATAATCAAATAAATAATTTTCACAGGGACGCTATGATGCAAGGATTTGGTGCGCCATGGCCTGAACTAATAAGCGATTTGTTGGCAAAACGCGAAAACAACTTAGACGATACCGCTCTAACCGATTATTTCAGATTACTAGACGAATATCTCGATAACCAATTAGACCCTTCAAGCGAAACAATAATCGATGATTATATCGAACCACCAATCGAAGTTGAAATCGATAACGACATTCCAGAAGAAACTAAAGAAAACGATACACACGAAGATATACAAGAAAACGTAATAGAAACAGATGAAGATAAGCATTCGAAGGATGAGAAAGATGAGAAAGATGAAACGTCGTCTGTAGGCGTTCTAGAAATAAAGAACCCAGTACCTATAGATAATGAAAAAGAAAATCCTAAAGAGGCCTCATATAATATGTATTGGTGGATCGGTATAGTTATCGCGTTAGCGGTTGTCGTTATTTTAGTAGCGATAATCGCCAGAAAACGTCAAAATCATAGAAAACAATTGGAAAGACAAAGAAGGCAGAACACGTGCGCCTGATTCGAGGAATATCGGTTCTAAACCGATAGGACTTTGTGCCAATTTAAGTACAAAAGTGTTAAGTGCTAAATTTTGTTCTTTCCGTATGTTATGTATTTTGTATTCAAATGGTTTAACTTTTTTAATTATTGGGTGCATAACTTTTTTTTATGAATTTTCAGCGATTAAATTGATATGGAAATTCAAATATGGCCGACTTTTTGGGTATATTTGAATGATATGAATTTATAATATAATCTTTTTATATTATAACAATTTTTATTTATACTGTAATATGACATGTAAAATGAATTGTTTATCAAATTATTATATTAAGTAAACACAGGTGGATATTAAAATATATTTTTTAGTTATATTTAATGTTTTATAAATAATTTTGTATTATTGTACCCTAATTATGTTATTTGAATGCCCAGGTTGGTGTTAAGCGGTTGTTTTATTTATTCTATGGTGCTCTTTATTCCATACTGCATTTAAGTTCGATATCTTCGTGTGTTTGAGTTTTTTGAGTAAGTTAGATAGTGAAGAGGAAAAATATTTTTGTACATATCACAATTTAAATAATGGTTACCATAGTATAGTGATGGGCGGCGGCGAGATGTCTAATCGATTATTTAGCTATAATATCGAATGAAAATCGATTTCATTTAAATATAATATGGAAATTATGCATCACTTCACTTTTTTTTTTATATGATATCATCATCACAAATTTTGTTCTCAATAGAAATATTAGATATTTAATAAGAAAATCGATTAATATCTCGGAATCGCCCACCAATTATTATTAATATAATTAGATATAATTCGCCGTGCCTTAAGCGTTTCAATTTCTTAAAATTAAAGGAAACGATCAAATTTATAATGAATTTTTGTAAACTCTACGAGTCTCTCAGACCAAGTCGCATGTTTTCATAGCTGTATGATAAATGTCTTAAATTTGGTTGTTTATCGGTATTTTATTGTGTATAGTTTATTCGTTACTAACTCTAACGTTAGTAAGCAAGTGTATTATTAATTGTGTCAAATTTTAAAAGGAATGAGAAATTAAATGTTTTAAACATTTTCTTTTGTTTTATTAATAACATTTATTTCCCTTAGTTTTTTATTGGTTTGTCTAACTTGAAAGGTTATCTTTTGTGGTAACCGAACCCGCTACTTTATGAACACTACTTCCTTCTGGACGAAATCTAAGAACTTGTTTCAGTGAAAGTATCGGTAAAACCGACTCAGTCTCTCATAGATTAGGATTTACACAGAAAATGACAAACAATTTCGATGTGTTTTCGATGTTTTTTGGTCTTTGTTATTATATAAACAAACAGATTGAAAGATCTTAAGTTTAAGCCCAACTTACCTACTTAATCTACATAATATATACTTTTAAATATTTCTTTAACCCTTTTAACCCTTACGCTATAAACCATTACATTATACGAGTATAACACCTTCATAGCATAAGAGTTGAAAATCTATATAAAAATTACAATAATTCCAAGTAAAATCACACGATATTAATTTCTTATCAATAAACAGCGTATAGATCAAATATTTTAAAGTCGCGTCTGTTATCGGAACGGGGTTAATGTTTCAGCCAGGAGCTCATCAATCATTTTCTGTTTTTGTTGATTTTCAACTCAGCTAATGTCTTTGTATTGAGGAAACTTGATTCAAATACAATTTACCTGCTTTTTATCTATTACTAGCATCGCCCGCGGCTCCGCCCGCGTTCAGATGACCAAAAACCAAATTCTTAGGTTTTACATATTAGTATACTCTTACATTGCAGTTTTTGTATTTTTTCTCAAAAATGAGATTTTTTCCCGCGATAAAAAGTATCCCATATGTTGACTCCGATAACCAGCTATCACCATTCTAAATTTCATCAAAATCCCTCAAGTGGTTTTTCTGTGATGCGGTAAGAAAAAGACAGACAGACAAAAATTCTAAAAACTATAGATTCGGCCTGTCTATCGATAATAATGTATATTTCAATAAGATTTACCAAAATTATTTAATGTACAGATTCGGCTTAGTTACAATTTTATTATATGTACCTATAGATATTGATATAGTAATTGTAAACTACAAACATTTCACGTAATGACGTAGTAGATAGATTAGAGGTGTAGCTGAGATATTATATAATATAATCTATTGCTAGGTGCAGCGAGTTCGATTTCGACAAGGGACAAATGTTCTTATTACTATAGATGTTATTATACCAAAGTAGCGTCGCCGTCGTGTCCTAGTGTTGCTTACGAACATGTTGCTTGTTTATATCTAGTGTAGTTTTAAATCAAATTTCGTATTTCAGAATCTACAGCTGCAAGTAGTCATAAATAAATAAATAATATTAAGATGTTATTCGACTTCTTTTCTTAGATCTTCTCCGTTGCAGAGCAGTAGTGGCTTACCTATTACTAATTATCCACACTTTGCATCTATAGACTCGTGGCGATTATAATAACTATAATATTTAAAATATAAAATATTTTATTCCAAAAATGACAGATAACTTTGTTTCTCGTACACGAGGAATCATTTAAACTAGATATATAAAGGTTCCAAAAAGGGTAAGAATACAAATAGCTATCCCTTTCTATTAAAGTGTTTTGGTCCTTCGTCAGGTTGCTCCCGCAAGACTCGTTGTGCTGATCGTGGAATATTACAACGTGACCAACATTTTTTTTGATTTTTATTATTGAGTGAGTAAAGTATATTTAGGCTCCCACATTGAAAGTGGCCGAACTAAAAACGATTGAAAAATGTGTGGTGTTAGAGCAACTTGACTTTTCATATAAAAGGTTTAGATATTAAATATTATGTAATTCGCAGAAAGAATCGTATTATTTTAAAACAACTGCAACTATTAGCTCACAATATAAAAGTGCCTGTAGTTTTTTTCATAGATTCTCCTTATTAGAGATCTGACGATTTTATAGTTTTTAGGGTTCCGTACCCGAAGGGTGCCAAATATGGAACCCTATTACTAAGGCTCCGCTGCCTGTCCGTCCGTCTGTGAGAGGGATGTATCTCATGAACCGTAATAGGTAAAGTTGAAATTTTCACAGAGTATGTATTTCTATTACCGCTATAACTGAAATAAAGCAACAAAAGGTTTAATCAAGTGATTAAAAAGAGGTATCTGTAATTACAGACTAAAACAACAAACAATATTATGTAAATGTTAATTATATATTTGCTAGAAGCAGTCATACAAATACTAAGACAACGTATTTATTTACAAGAATAAGTCTATTTCTATTTGAACACTTTTTCTTTAGTTGTAGAATTAAATAATTTCTTAATACAAGTTTCATTAAGCGTTATTTACTTCGTTGAGAACTAGTGTTTTCATTTCCATTTCAGCTTTTATTTATCTTTAATAATAATTGCTTCGTATTTATCCACTCGTTGGTCATGCTTTCATATTATACGATCAATTTCTGCTAATAAAATGAATGGTATGTACTATAACTGAAGTTAATTATGAAGTCAGTGGCTTGTAACGATGGAAGATTTATTTATTTATATTTTTCATATATCATTTATATGAGCAACATTTTGTTTTTGTTGTTAGCTAATGTGAAATCATTTTATATTGCATTTCTCGAATTTAATACAGATTTAAGTCGACTTCAAAAATAGAGGAAGCTCTGAAATATCAGTAGGAAATGAGTCTAGGTTTTTGCCTTATATATTTTTTTATATTGGATTATTCGATAAGAGATAAACAAGAAGGTGCAAACTTAGAGTGCAATTAGATTCTTTTTAAAACAAAAAAGGTACACTTAACTTTAAAATTATTTGTAATGTAATTAATCCGATCTTAGAGATTGTTATAGGGTTCCGTAGTCTAAAATAAAAACCTTACAATTTTTGCCATGCCTGTCTGTGCGTATGTCACAGCTATTTAGTAAATAGATGTGTGGCTACTGGCTAAATAGGTGTCTTATGAGTGAGCCGCGAGATAATTCTGTAGTCAAATAACGAACAAAAAAATACAACCGAATTCAGAACCTCCTTCTTTTTTAAGAAGTCGGTTGAACAAGAGGTGGCAATGCATATATGCAATTGATGGAGTATAAAGTTTAGATTTGAGATAGCTAGTAGAATTTCCAAAATACTTTCAACGCAATTTAGTTTGTTTTTTATAGAAACACTAGCATTGCCCGCGGCTCCGCCCGCGTTCAGATGACCAAAAACCAAATTCTTAGGTTTTACATATTAGTATTACATTGCAGTTTTTGTATTTTTTCTCATTCCCGCGATATATTCCCGCGGTAAAAAGTATCTTATATGTTGAACCGGATGGATAACCAGCTATCACCATACCAAATTTCATTAAAATCCCTCCAATGGTTTTTCTGTGATGCGGTAACAGACAGACAGACAAAAATTCTAAAAACTATAGATTCGGCCTCTATATCGATAATAATGTTCATTTCAATAAGATTTTCCAAAAAATATTTAATTTACAGATTCGCCTTAGTTAAAATTTTATTATATGTATATGATATATATATATATATATATATATATATTAGAATTATAGATTAGAAGACAATATTTTATTATTGCGGCCAATAAAATTGATATTGTAGATGGGAAGAAAAATAAAGTAGATATCAACTTTTAAATATTTCCTTTAACTATATTTTTTATGTATGTTTGTTTGCTTAATGTATGTTTTTTTAGTATTAATTTTTCTTTTAATATAACTCAAACTTAAGTATACTAAAACATAATATTAATATAATGTTTCATGCTATGGAACCCTCGGTGTGTAAGTCAGTAAAAAATAAAGTATTATTTTTATTTATTTTATAGAATATAATAAGCATAAAATAAAGAAATATAATAAGCATAATAAAGATGTAATCTACTCAAATTAATAGATACTCCTTAGTAATTTTTAACTCTACTTAATATGAACTAAGTGTTTTACCTTACTCATTTTTTGCATATTCTTTACATTTTACTATGTAAATTCA